GGCCGGGAATTGGGACCCGGCAGTTCAGACGTTTGCACTAGCAGGAGCACATGGCACGTAAGCGGGACCACTCCGTAAGGTTAAAAAGGAGGCCTGGTGGGAGCCTCTAGAAAAGGAGGTTGGTACCCGCAGCCTGTTCGAAAGCTCCGCTACACTCGCGACCGTCTGAACCGTGGCGGCTACAACAACAACAACAACAACAGTAGTATCAACAGTAACAACAGTAGCAACAGTAACAACAGTAACAGTAGCAGTAACAACCGCAACAGTAACAATAACAAAAACAAATGCAAGCTGAACATAAAACTAGGAATCATGACAATCATAACAAATTATGAAGCAGGGTCTCTTATGGGATTAAGGGTTTTGGGGTTGGGGTTTAGGGCTTGGGAATTTACAGACTTCTACAAGGTTTCTGATCAGGGTCTCCAAAGGGGGGGCTCTACGGGCTATGGCAACATAAGGGTAGTTATTTTTTTAGGGTTCCTCAAAGGGATCTATAAGGGTTTCTATAGGGGTTTCTTTCTAAATAATTCTCCAATCCGTTTTAGGTCCCCCAAGTAGTACGGCACCATTATAGAAAGGACCCTGAAAGGGACCCCAATTTAGAGAACTACCCATAAAGCAAACTCCTCAACATAGGCAGAGGGGTTGACGTAGCGTTCAGTGCACAGGGGCGTCCCAACATAGCATTCCGAGAGCAGCATTCGCCGTCCAGTCTGTACGTGGGATATGCTCCAGGTTCTGGAGGCATAAAATTTAGGAAGTACGGTTGATGATATTAATCCTGCATTGCCTTAAGGACCCTAAACTATGGGAATTATGGTATATTCCTTATTATGGGTATACTGCAGGATTTATATCATCAACCGTATTGCTTTAGACTTTAGAAGTGAAGGGCTTACGGCGCTTACCGCGCTTTCGGCTTCAGTCGAGCTGAAGAGCTTGGTTTCCTATCTGCTTTAGGTTTTAGGCTCCCTATGTGTCCTATGCATACCTACGCAGGATATGACGCACATGATAACGGGGAACCATACATGAACATTCCGAAGACCTGAAATACCCTCCCACTCACAGGTTGATCACACCCTAAACCCTAAAACCCTCAACCCTAAAACCCAAAAACCCCTAAAACCCCTAAGAACCCTAAAGCCACAAGCAGTCCCCCTTTGCCCCAAGGCCACCTCGATCGGGCCGCGTCTGCAGCTCTGCCAGGGTGGGCCTGCAAACCCCCGAAGCTCGAGCTTTCCTCAAAGAGGACCCGGAGAACCCAATGGGGTTCTGGGTTTAGGGTTAGGGTTTAGGGTTTAGGGTTTAGGGTTTAGGGTTAGGTTTAGGGTTTAGGGTTTAGGGTTTAGGGTTTAGGGTTTAGGGTTTAAGAGGACCCAGAGAGCCCAATACCCCTTAATTCAGCAATAGACCTTAACTCAGAATTTTAAGGCGCCCTATAGTTTAAGGTATAATTCCTCAATTAAGGGTATTGGGTTCTCTGGCTTAGGATCTTTCAAAGGGTGAAACTAACGGTTAAACCCCTGAAACCCTTAACCCTTAACCCCTAACCCCTAAACACCTAAAACCCTAAAACCCTAAACCCCTAAACCCTAAACCCCTACAACCCCTAAACCCCTAAACCCCTGAAGCCCTTGAACCCTAAACCCTAAACCCTTCAGGTGTTGTCTTACGGGTTTTGTGGGCTGGTCGCGCGCCGGCTTGAAGATTTAGAGATTTGGGCCTTTCGGGGTGTAGAACCGCGTGCACGCAGCGGCAAGCGGCTCCAATGCATCGTTGGAAAGGCAACAAGAACCCAGAGAACCCAATACCCGTTAATTAAGAAATATACCTTAAATTATAGGGGCCTTACTATTCTCTGGGGAGACCACTTCAACATCAACATGATGATCACGATCATTCTCCCGAATCCGAAGACCCTGCACCCTAAAAAATCTTCAAGCACAGCCCTTACAACCCCCAGAGTCTAAAGGCCAAAAGCATGAAGGAAAATAACAATAACAAGAATACCAATACTAATAATAATCGTAGTAATACCAATAATGATGATAATAATAAGAATAACTATAGGTATAAACATACGAGTAATAGCGATAATCAAAATAACAGTAACCGTAAACAATAACAATATCATTAATACTAATAGTGCTGTCATTACACACATGTGTATGTCCCTAAACCCTAAACCCTAAACCCTAAACACTAAACCCTAAACCCTAAACCCTAAACCCATATAGAGCTTTTAGTACCAACTCCGGCCTTGCGGTCACGTTTTGTCTTCGTGTTGCACTGCCGCGGGCGCTCTGGAGGAGCTCTGTCACCTCCGGGGATGAGGAGGTTAGGGGTTTAGGGGTTTAAGGGTTTAGGGTTTAGGGGTTAGGAGTTTAGCGGTTTAGGGGTTTAGGGGTTTAGGGTTTGGGGGTTTAGGGCTTAAGGTTTAGGGTTAACCCCTTTAAACGGGTTTTGGTGCTCCTTTGGAGGGGTTTTGGGGGGTTCCTTTTAAGGTTCCTTTAAAGGGGTTTAGGGATTCCTTTGACGGGGCTTTGGGGGTTCCTTTAACGGTGTTTTAGGAATTCCTTTCAAGGGGTTTTAGGGGTTCCTTTAACGGGGTTTGGGGGTTGCTTTAAAGGGGTTTTTCGGGGTTCCTTGAAGGGGGTTTTAGGGGGTTCCTCTAGAACGGTGTTTTAGGGGCTCCTTTAAAGGGGTTTTAGGGGGGTTCCTTTATAGAAGCTCAGCCTTCTTTTCTGCTCCCTGGGATTGTCCACTGGCGCTCGTCGGCACGGCGAGGAATTCACATCTCGCAAGAAAGGCCCCAAGCTGAAAAGTCTTAGCCGAGGCTGGGCGCCAAATATAAAATAATCCCTGCGCTCAAAAGCGGGCGCGGCGGGTGGGAGAGCTTGAGAAGCATACATTTCGGCCTTCGCTTCTAAGTGTCAGAAGCTCAGCCTTCTTTTCTGCTCCCTGGGATTGTCCACTGGCGCTCGTCGGCACGGCGAGGAATTCACATCTCGCAAGAAAGGCCCCAAGCTGAAAAGTCTTAGCCGAGGCTGGGCGCCACATATAAAATAATCCCGCATTTCCCGTCACGACCTGTCGCCATCGCCAGTGGCAATGCTCTCTGAGCTCCAGAGTCGGTACCACACGCTCGTGGGGATACGATCCCGAGTCCACGAGGAGGCTTTCTTGAGTATCTCAGGAAAGCATGTAGCCGCATCCAATACCCGCCTTCTGGTGGTAACCGGCAGTGACGGATAAAACGTCGATGCTGCTACTTCTTGAAGATAAAATTTCCATAACCTTTGCCGACACCCAGCGGCCTCGTCTGCGCACCAGCTCTGCGTCCTCCGTGGCCTGGAGGACGAAGGTAGCCCCCCCCGGCCTAAAAGACCCGAGGTCTAATGGCCGGGAGCAGGACCGTGTGGTAGGTACTTGTAGGGCATCCAGCGCGCTGTCCAGTCTCTTGCGCAGCGTCTGGGCAGAAAGAGGCCAGAGCTTGCTGTAGGCCGGCAGGTGAGCAAAAGCCAGATCTATCAGCTGAACAAGGTCCTGGGCCTCGACCTTTGCAGCTTGATGCCTGGCAGTACGCAGGCGAGTTTTCGGCTCGTCTATCTTCAGGAGGATGAAGGCCTGGCTCCACAGGGTATCCCTCGGCAGCACCAGCGAGGACCTAACTGCTCCGGTTGCCTCGCCAATTCGAAGAAGGGCACCCCATGCCAAAGCGAAAATCCCTGCTTCAGCTCGCCACCCCCAGGTAAGGCAAACCGATAAGAGCGCCAGCAGGATCACAGCTGGCATCGCCACGTGGTGGGTGTAAGGCTCCAGAGCGAGCCAACTGAAGGCCAGATCCCAGGCGCCCTGCAGAGTGCGGCGGACAGCCGGGCGGCGCGCGCTGATGGCATTGATCGTTTCAGCGTAGTGCCAGTATGGCCGACCGGCCTCGAAGAGTTCCCTGCCGCCGAACTGCTCCAAAGTCTTGGCTAGGGCCTCAGCGCACCACTGCATAAAAGCTTCGCGTTCAAAACCATTCTCCCCAAGCCAGTCGCTGAAACGGTCTAGGAGGGAGGCACGGTTAAGCTTCGTCCTAGGGAGGACTGGGCGGCCTTCCGGCAAACCTAGCGGGCCACGTGCCTGCTTTCGCTGCTCGTCCTGGAGGTTTCTCGGTCCTATGGGCCCTTCTCCAGGAAAGCCGAAGCACGCGTCGAAGTCCTTGAGCGGGGCTCGCTGGGGGTCGAGGCTCGGGACTAGGCCTAAAGGCTTGGGCACTAGGGGGCGGCGCGGCTCTTGAAGGGCACTAAGGAAGGGGCCTAAACCTAACCTAGTGTCCTTACGGGCGAGGAGGAGAGACAGGCGAAGCCAGCCTGCTGAAGCAGAGGAGAGCCCGGCAAAACCGCAGAGCTCCTCGAGGACGTCGGGGTCCTGGCCACAGACTAGGCTAGAGCCCCCTGGCAGCCTCAGTTCGGCATCCCTAGTCGGGTCGTCGGCTACGTTGAGCCTGGTCGGTGCGTGGTGCAGGCCGAGGTGCACCCCTCCAGCTAAAGCAAGACGATCTCCCCTTCCCAATGGCCCCTCTGGCAACTGAGGAGTCAAGGAGAAGGGAGACCTTCGAGTCTCCCCCGGTGGCCGCGGCATGGGAGACTACACGTTGGGCGGCCCTTGCCTCTCTGCAGTTTATGTGCTCGTTTCGCCTCCACCTCCAGCAGGCCTCGGTCTTCCAGGAGGCCGTGAGCAACAGGTCGTTGACAGCAAGGTTCTCAAGACCTCTCTTGCGGTCAGGCTCGGCCGGTCGCGGCTCAGAGATTGCCCCTGCGAAGGCCTTGGCAAGGAGGCCGGCGAAGCCCTCCTGGCAGACGGTTTCACTAGCGGGCTTTTCTCCGATTCCAAACTGCAGGCCTCGGCTGAGGACCCTCATCTTCGGAGTCCCCGGAGGGCCTGCCTCGACAACAGCCTCAGAGACAAGTAGACTTGCTGCACACCTCTCCCAAGAAGGAAGGAAACGAAAGAAAGAGCTGGAGGGAACCCACAGCGCAACGGGGACCTCGTGCCTCAAAGCAGCTCGAAGGAGACACAGGTGAGCAAGGGCGAGCTTGTTGCCCTCTCTGGTGCGAGGCTCGGTTGCGTCAAAACCCTCCGGGCAAGCAGCAGAGCGGAGGGGAGGCCTGAGGCAGGGGCTAAAGGAAGCCGTGGGGGGCCCCAGAGCAAGGCTGCCTAACCTTTTCTCGGAGAGCAAGAAGAGGATCCATTCCAGGAGCCGGGGGGCTGTATGGCGGAAGTGTCTCGACCGAGCGGGGTCGATGACAGGCCCGGCGTAAAACCCAAGCCGGCCGAGGTTCTCAGACAAAGCTCCCTGCGACACGCTTACCTCCAGGCAGTCGTAGGAACAAGCGAGTGGCTTCTTCGGCCCAGCGTCGGGGGGTAGGTCGCCAAGCCCAGGCGCGGACACCTCCCGCCCCTTCTCTTCGGAGAGCCTAACCGCGTGCCCTTTTGACTCAGAGGCGAGCCAAATTCGTAACGACTCTTCGTGGCCCAGGGGCGCTGAGCAGAAGGCGCCCTTTGAGTCGGAAGCGTCAGAGGCATAGACTCGAGGGGAAGGAGCAGCAGAAAGGTTTGTCTGGACGACCGGCGAGGACGGCGAGGAGCTGAAGTTCGCCCGCGACCCTCCGAGACAGAGGGCGGAGGGCACTGCCAGGTGAGCTCGGGGTCTCTGACCTGCCTAAGGAGAAAAGTCCATCAAGAGCCGACATAAGGCATCGCCTGTACATGAGGGCCGACACCCAGGAGCCGGTGAGGCAGGAAACCAGCTCCTCAGAGATGCAGGGGCACTCGGCAGCACGGGCCGAGGCAGCAGCCAAAGACAGCCTCTTTTGAGTGGGGAAGCCAAGGTAGGTGGCACCTGACAGGACAGTCTCGGCACAAGAATCTATCTCAGCTCCGGCCACCTTCAGGACTCTCTGAGACAAAACGTCCTTGCTAGGAGAACCTGCCACCTCCTCCGATTCATAAGCAAGTTTGGCGAGGCTAAGGGCATCGAGGGAGGCGGAAAACGAGCCTGGCACGAAGTCCCCGGCCTCGACGCTCAAACAAAAATAATCATCGATTATCAAGCCTTGCCACGGCCCCTCCGCCGACACTGGGTGGCGAGAACGGAGGCGGCGCGCAGGAGGGAGGCACCCCCACCTTTCAAGCAGACCTTGGTGCCCCCCTGTTGCGTATTCGACTCCTCCCGCGTCCCCCTGCAGTAAGGACCGGAAGGTCGGGTGCACAATGGTCTCAGGACCAACGAGAAGCGAAGACCTGGAAGGAAGGAGGCAGGAAGCCCGAGCGCGAAGTCCAGCGCTCCACCCTGACGCAAGCAAAGTCTGGCCAGCGACAGTGTCAAGAAGGCTCTTCAAGGGCAGTGCCGGCCCGACGGCGTTGGTCCACGACCTCTCTTCGGATATCATGGCCTGCGTGTAGAAATCCCGCCGGTCCGTCACGGAACCGACCAAGCTGCAACCAGCAGGCACGTGGACTCGGCAGAGCAAGGGGCCCGAGGGCAAGAACCTCGAAGGGCCGCACAAGTGAGCCTCGGAGGCGTTCTGGCCCCTTCGGTCGCCGATTTGGCGGGAGCTTGCCAGGAGCTTTGTAGGCCCCGAAAAGACGCGTGAGCTGCTTGTCTGGCAGAGGACCCGGCACAAACCCAAGAAGGGAAGAAGCGTCCCAAAGCCTGCAAATCCCAATCAGGTGATCCGGCTTCTCCTTCGCGAAAGAGGGGTGAGGGGCCTCAAGCCCGGCAAAATGCAAGACCTGGGGCTCGACGAAAGGCATGTAAAGATCCGGGCCGAGATGGGCGGCGAGGTCCCACTTCCCCTCGCCGTGCAGAGCAACCTGATCAGCCCGAAGGTCCCTGTAAGGGTGAAGTGCCTCAAAGCCGTGGTCGGCATGGGGCAGAAAAGGTGCCTCCTCAGGCAAGGCACCGTCGCCAGGATAAGCGCCAGGGGTCAAGCCGCAGCGCTCAACAAAAGACACAACCCCCGAAAGCCTGGCAGCAAGGTGGAGGCCGCGGCGTCCAGAACAGGCGGGCACAAGGCCAGCCCTACGGGCACACGCTCGAACAAGCAACTCGATCCGACGATAGGCCTCGACCTGGGCCGGATTGAGAGGCCTCTGCAGAGAACGCAAGGGAACATGCTTGCAGCCGGCGTGCATGTAATTCAAAGACATGGCGACCAGGTGCACGCACCGCCGAACGGCCAAAGCCCGGCGGTCAGACGCGTTTCGGCAGGACCGCTGGTGGAAGACCCTCTCATGAAGGAGAGGCAGCGGATAAAGAGCGGCTGAGGGGTCGGGTGAGGTCCCCTTTTGCAGATTCAAAGTCGAAACGAGAAACCCGGACAGCTGGGTCCTCCCACGCTTGAGAAGGCGGGGCAAAGCGGCGATCCAGGATTCAAAGGTGAACTCGCCCTCTTCTCTGAGGCTGCTGCCTTGCAGGGGGAAAACATCTCCGGAGGCATTGCTCGCGCAGGGAACATCCTCTGAGACAGCAGGTAACTCAGGGGGAGAGGAACAAAAGCCCAATTCAAAGGCCGGCCGGGCCGGGGGCAAAGGGGAGTCCAGAGAGGCTCCGAAGGTAGAGGTAGTCCAAAGTCCAGGGGCACCAGCCGAGGAAGACCGCCTTCCCGACCTTGCAAAGGAAGAGGAGGCGTGGCTGGCTGAAGGTCGGGATGTTGGAACCCGCCCGGACACGAAAAGCTTTGACGAAGTCACTTCTTTGGGGCTGTTTCGGCTGCGGCCTTTCGGGCGGCCCAAGCGGCTGCCCTCTGCTGCTTCTTTGTGAGCTCCCCTGGGCCGGGCGGTGCAGGAGGCGGAGGCGCTGGTTTCGACAGGGTTTTTGGGACCCCGGGCCCCTTTGCTTGCGCCTCGGAGCGGCGCACACTTATGGTATCCAGCTCCTTTGCGTAAGCCAGCGCTGTCGTCACCCACTTTTGCTCGGCAAGCGCTGAAAACACCGGCAGCTGAGCTCCCGGGACTGAGGCAGGCGCCTGAAACAAGCTTTGAGGCGGCTCCGCTTGCAGGGTTGGGAGCCAAGATAGGGAGCTGTTGCCCCCATCCAGCGCCGTCTGCTCCATCATGAGCAACATCAAGGAAAGAGTGTCCCGGGCACCGGCCTCCGACCCGGCAGCTAGGAGGTCGAGAGCTTGGGCAGTCTGCCAAGCCAGAAGCCCCAGCAGAGGCTGAGCCGAAAACGACCCGTGCCTCTCCAGGTACCTCATGAAAGAAATCTGCTCCTCGGCCATCAGGTGAGTGGGGTCCATACGCCGACCCATGTTCGCCCGGATCTTGTCGGCGAACGCCCCGGATCGGCCCGCCAGCTCCTCCTGGAGCCTCGCCCGGTTGGCTGCCCCCTTCACGCTGGCGGCTTGCCCGGTGGCTTCCAACAAGGGGTCGCCCGATCCCGACGCCAGCTGCCCCACTAATGCCACCAAGGCCTGGCTCTGAGCAAGGACGGCCGACGTAAGGCTGCTTTCCCCGGAAGCTCGCCCCTGGCTAGGGCACCAGCTGCCGTCTCTTCCAAGTCCACTTGAGCAGGGGCCGCGGGAGGCTGAGCACGGGTAGGAGGTGGAGGACCTATGGCTTGTGCCAAGACGCGAGGGGCAGCTGAGGCCTGGCGGAGGACTGACGCCAAAGGCTTTTGCAGGATCGCGGTGTTCACTGCGGCAGGAGGGGCCGTTGCAGCCAGCCCAGGGGGGCCGGGAGCCGGGGACACAGGGGCCTGCAAACCGTCGAGACGCTCCACCACTGAAGTCATAAGCTGCATCATCTGAGCTTGCTGGGCGGCCAGCTGTTGCACCGTAGGTCTCTTCGGTTTCGGAGGCTTGGGCCGCGGTGCAGGAGCTTGGGTGGCAGAGGCCGCGGTCTGGTAACCTGACCTGTTGTCGGGAAGATTCCCCGTTCCCAGCAGCCACTCCTTTGACTGCTTCAGCACCTCGGAGGCCAGGGGAAAGAGCATCGGCTCCCCCTGACGAAAACACACGAGTTCCTCCGCAGACAGGTCTGCTGGGGCCAGTTGCTCGACCATGTGATCGGACATGTCCACCACCAAGGCCGAGAGACGCTCCTGGTCCTGGGCCGCGATCCAGTTCCCCTCGGCAGTGAGCAAAAGAGGGGAGGCTGACACCACGGTAGAGGGGCCGATTCCAGAGTCCTCGGCGGGCTGCTGTCCAAGGTCCCTCTCCTCCTGACTCAAGAAGCCCTCCGGAATACACAGCAAGAAGCCAGTAGGCCGTTTCATAATAACATAGGCAGAGCATAGCGAAGGGGCCTGGTCCTCGGCGGCGGGCGGCCATGAGAACTCCAAAACCTCAAGAGAACCCGACTCGTAGGCTACCAGCTGGGCAAAGTCCATCACCTGAGCAGGGAGGCCGGGTAAGGAAGGGCCGCACCGGCAAAGTACACTCTGCACTCCGAGGTGGAAGGAAAGCCGTGGGTGACCGAGCGGCCCAAGACGGGGCCGACGACACGCCTGAAGACAGACAGCGAACCACAGACGACAGGAGCAGGCAGGCCCTCGGCGCGCAGCACGCAGTAGTAACGGGAGCTTACGTCCAAAGGCTCCGACGGGTCAGGCTTGTCCACCTGACCGTCCAGAACAGCTCGGGCCCAACAGCCGGCGAGCCACGCACGGTTGGCACGTTGCTGGGGGGTAAGGCTCCCCACGGACAACTGGCGGCAGGAGTCCACGAGGTAGTCAGGCAGCGGAGGGAAAGCCAGCGCGATAGCCTGCCTCCGGCTAAACCTGGAGCTCGACGAGCTGGGCAAGGGGTACTCAGGCACGGCTGGAGCCGAGGAAGCGGATTGCACAGGAGATGAGGCTTTGGGCACAGGCAGGGCTTCAGTGGCAAGCGACCTGCCGTCGACAGGCACACGGGAGCTTAGGGGTAGGGAGGTCGACCCGGAAGGTGGGTCGTCCTGTTGCACACGGGTTGAGGACCTAGGGCTTACAACCACAAAACCCGAAAGGGAAGGGGAGGAGCTCCTATCAGCCGGCTCGGCCCGCCCTGGCGCCAACCTTAAACCCCTAAGCCTAAGGGAGAGCCCTTCGATCTCGAGCGAGAGATCCCAGTGATCACTCTCACTCATGCAAATAGGCCCGGAGTCTGGCCTGTCGCCGGGCGGCCGGCGCAAAGGCAGGAGCTGCCACAGCCGGCTCCTCAGCAAGAGGGGCCCCAAACAGAAACTTTGCAGCAACCCAAATACCAAAGCCAGTGCCCAATATAGCTCCGCTAAGGAAGCTAGCCAATACTGTACCCAGCCCTGGCGGAGTGCAGTAAAACGGGCACGCCAGGCCCCACAGGTTCGTCGAAGCACCCTGGTGCAGGACCTGAAGAAACCCCAGCAGATGCGAGACCATCCGAGGGGCCTACCTTCAGAGCTTGAGAAGCATACATTTCGGCATTCGCTTCTAAGTGTCAAAGGGGTTTTGGGGTTCTTTTAAAGGGGTTTTAAGGGTTCCTTTATAAAGGGTTTTAGGGTTCCTTTAAAGGGTTTTACGGGAGTTCCTTGACAGGCAGTTTAGGGGCTCCTTTAAAAGGGTTTTAAGGGTTCCTTTGTAAAGGGGTTCTAGGGTTCCTTTAAAGGGTTTTAGAGTTCCTTTAACGGGGTGTTAAGGGATGCCTTTAAAGGCTTTTAGGGGTTTAGGGGCTTTAGGGTTTAGGGGTTTAGGACTTATGGTTTGGGGTTCAGGGCTTCGGAATTCGGGTTTAGGGTTGGGCATAGGGTGTAGTTTTCGGGCTTAAATTCTATCAGAGGCCTGAGAACTGGACAAAATCCGAGCCTTCATCTGGTGGTATGTGTATATATACCTATGTATACGCATTTAGATGTGTACAGACATAAACACACACGTGTATGTTCATACATACATACATACATACATACATACATACATACATACATACATACATATCTTTGTGCATATATATTATATAAATATGATTATATAATTATATATACATATATATATATATGTATAAAGATGAGGTAAACCTAGAAAGCCGAAAGCTCCCTTTCAGCTACAAGCAAAATTTGGGGCTTTATAAAAGAATTACAGTCTCTGGTTGCCTGAAATGAGGGTTCTAAGATGGCATTCCGTGGTTAACATTAACCCATCACGGAAGGCCCCGAACTCGGTCTTTCATATCAGGCTTGACAGCGAGAAGACAGCTTCCCGTTACTTCCCTTGTTATCATGATGACGGCTTGGTGTCATTGGTCCTTGACGCATCACGTGGGGACACCCCAAACCGTAGACCCGGCAGCCCGAATAAATTTACTGAAGCGTAGCAAAATCCCGAAACCCACAGTAACGCTCAGGGGTTACAGGTTTTTGGCAGTGAGGCTTTAAGCACGCAAGGGCTTCAGGGCTTAGAGCTCGTCGTGCATGGAGTACGGCTTGTAGTTTCTTTCCCTTGGGATGCCTGGGGAACCTAACCTGACATTAAGTGCCCTTAACAAGGAGGGAGCCTTGTCTCCGTTAAAAATCTCTAAACCCCAAACGGAATCCTGTCGGGGTTGTTCCTGCGGGTTTAGGGTAATTATAGGGTTTTGGTTTGTTTCGGCCTCTGGGAGCTTTCGTGTCCTCGGGGCTGCCAAAAAAACTCTGTTTCAAAGAGGCTTCTATTTTGCGGGGTTTAGGATTTACCGGGGGGGGGGGGTTCTTTCTGTAGGGTCCCTTGTGATCAGCATCGTGTTTCGCTGAATTCACACAGATCCGATTCTTTTGGGCTGCCGACTTGGGTCCCTCCTGAGATCCTAGCCTCGCCGTCCTCTGGGGCTGCGCAGCCGCCGGCAAAGTCTGCACCTCAAATTTTCGGGGCTTTCGGGGTTCTAAAGGCACTACTAAGGGTTTAGGGTTTAAGGTTTTGGGTTTAGGGGTACATGCATAATCGCTGCCAGTACCTTGCTTTCGCTGTTCCCTGATAGAATCGGGTAGGGTTCCTGTGAGGCCCGAATTTAAGAGCTTGGTAAACGCGCATACGAAATACTACTGAGCTACTGTGACAACCGGGCTCACGATGGTTGGTGCGCTGTTGTGTTTGGGGCGTTTGTTTTCTAACAGTTTGGGGCTTCAGAAACTTTCGGGCTTGAAGTCTGGCGCCTTGGGCGTGGAGCTGTAGGGTTGTGAGTTTAGGTGGCCCACAGATTAAAGGCTCCGGGGTTTAGGTTGGGCAAGCCACGTGTTAATCATTAAGGAGTCAACCCTAAATCGTAGACCCCAAACCCTACAACCTGAACCCTAAACCCAAGCATGTAGAAGGCCTGAGGGGAATTGAACGGGTCACCCCGGGGCCACGGTTTAGGATTTAGGGTTTAGGGTTTAGGGCGTTACATGTTGACTCCAAAATCTCACGGGGCTCCGAAGCAACGGATCATTGGCAAGAGGAAGGTTTAGCGCTGTTTAGGCCTGACCGGTCTTGGGCTCACGGCGCTGAATAGGGCTTTAAGACCGAAGGATGAGGAGGCGGCCAAGCCCTGATGACCCAAAAACCCCAGGACGAACCCCACATCACCTCTAACTCCGCAAACCCAGCTGCAACTCCCAAACCCCAACACCTGAAACCCCGAAACCCTAAACCCTAAAGTTTTAAACC